CCGAAGTGGGGGCTGGCGGGGGCCTGCTGGGTGCTGGGTGCTGCGGCCGGCAGCTCCGAGGATGCTGCAGACTCCGGCCCGCTGGATTGCTCACCCGACAGCTCTGTTCATATTTCTTGTTCTAATGACTCCCCTCCCTGTTCGACTTAATTAAAACCGGGAGACGGGGGTTGGGGGAGATGATTAGGGAGGTCTCCAGCCGCTGCTTAATGAGCCAGTAATTAACCAGCCAGGGAGGGGAGCTGGCCTATGGCCAGATTGGGTGGGGGAGAGATGCTGCCCCAGGCCTCACCTTCCTACCCCTCCAACCCCACCCACTGTCCCCCCAGACACCAGTCTATAGTACAGAGGGCAATTAGATTTATTCATACCACAAACATCAGACAGACTCAGAGCAGCACTGCGGAGGGCGGGCTAAAGGTCCCTTCAGAGCCGCTGGGCCCCACAGCCTTGGGGCTGGGGGTGCTGGGGTTGGGTAGGGGTCCTAAGGTCTCCCTACTTTCTTACTGGGAAGGAATGTAGGGTGTCAGGTCTTAACCTGTGGGGCATTCGCCTTTTCTTTGGAGGGGCAGGCCTCAGCCCTTTACACTTTTTTCCTTGGTCTTTTTGAGACCAGATCTCCCTGTAGCCCCACCTGGCCTGGAACTATGTAGACCAGGCTGGCCTTGAACTCACAGAGATCCCCCTGCCTCTGTCTCCCTGAATGCTGCAATTAAAGGCTTTACACTCTTTGTAGCCTGACAGCTCTGGATAGAGTCTTAACTGCTTCAGGGGGTTTAAGTGACCACTCTACCTTGCTTATTCCCAAGGTCTGAGTACTTGGACCCACTTCAGTCCCCAGGGAAGTTACTGAGGGTGGTTAATAATGCCATTTAGGCCACATCTTCAGTCTCTGGTACCCTCAAGGCCAAGCAGGGTTGAATGAAGGCCAGCAGGGGGGTGGCCCAACTCTGAGCCCCAGGAAGGAGGGGGGGCTCAAGTCTCAGCAGGTGTGTGTAGGGGGCCGGGATCTTTGCTCTTCCATCCGACCCCCACCCTGAACTCGCAGCAGCAACTCCAGGAGCTCCTGTCCCCCTGGGGGTAAGGGGGGCTCTGACCGCTGGGCTTCCATCCGCTGACACTGGAGATATGGAGGGAGAGGAGGGCATTGGGAAAGTCAGGTTGTGTGTGGGTATGAGAAACCAAGGTTGGTGTGGGGCAGATAAGGATGAGGGGACTAGAGGCTGGCCAAGGGGCAAGATGTCTAGGGAGAAAAGTTAGGGCCCAAAGGGAACAGGAGGCACTAGATCAGGGGATCTGGGTCTTTCTCTCATGGGGGAAGGGATCTGTCTTACCTGGTGACTAAGGATGGTGCTGTAGAGCTGTTCCTTGTCTTCAAGAAGCTGGGGCTGGGCTGGGGCTATGCTATAGGGGACCTGGGGGGTGTGGAAGGTGGCCCTCTGCTCCTCTAGTCGGCGGGACTGGGCCTCAGCCACGAGGTCCAGAAGGAGCTCAGTCTGCACCGAGAGCAGGGAGGCCGAGCGGGGTCCCAGGGCTGGGGAAAGGAGGAAGGAGGGCTCAGACACGCAGAGTTGGTAGTAGTCAGGGGTGGTTTGAGGGGTGGGGACAGGTGAGCTGATGGGGCTTTGCAAAGATCAGGGTTAAGGCCCAGCAGGTGCCACAGACCCAAGCTGGGTCGGTCTGGGTGATGGCGTTAGGAGCTCCCTGGGCCAGTGGGATACCTGTGAGGCGGGTCCCTGGAGGAGGAGGGGACGGAGGAGCAGATCGCCAAGGCCGAGTGGTGTTCACAGGGGGCCAGCCTTGCTCATCTTGTGAAGGTCCCTGATGCCAAAAGAGGTCCATTCCAGTCAAGCAGGGGGTAGGGTGGGCAGAGGGCTAGGCCAGAGACCCATTTCCCCTCACTGTTTCTGTTCCTGCCCTAGTGTGTCCAAGCCTTTCCAAGTCTCCTGTGCCTGCCTGTCACTAGGTATCTGCCTCAGGTCCTCACACGCCCTGCCCTTCTCTGTGTTGACCTCCCCACAGGGTGCCCAGCTCACCTGCTCACCATCCTCTTCTTGGGGTCTTTCAGCCTCCATCCCGGGCCGGTGAGACACTGATGGGGGAAGGGGTGGCTGGGATTTGGGAGGAGGGCCAGAACCTTGGGTTCCTGAGGGGAGTGGGGGCTAGAAGGGGTGGGGGTGAGCTGGGGGCTGGATGCCTGGGCACTGAACAGGAAGCTGGGTTCCTGGTCAGCCCCCCCATGGGCCCCGCCCATCCCTGTCAACTTCCTCCATTCTCTTTTCCCACCCAAACAGCTTGTTTGACCTCTCTAGCCCCAGGGGAGGGCAGAGACTGGGAAAAACTCCAGCTGCAGGAGTGAAGCCAGATCCTGACTGAGGAGGACTCGGGCCTGCTCATCCCTGGACTCTTAGTAACCCCTTGGCCTGCTACTATACTCCCCTCCATCCCCGCCTCCCCTTTAGCTCTTTTCTGTCAACACCGGAACTAGCTACACAGGAAGTGGTTTCACTCCTCAGGATCCCCCTCCCCCAAACCAGGTCTCTTCCCTCCCTAAGACTGATCCTGATGTGGGATCCTGCTCTTCTCACCTTCTCCCTTGACTTACTGGGACAGGGAAGGGCATGGTTCTAGTTGGACCTAGGATGCTCTGCTCTCCAGTACAGGCTTATCCCCTAACACTGGTCCAACACAGGGGTTGGGAACTGGGGGTTGAATGGTTGTCCTCAAGCTGTTTACAGTCAGTGTAGGGGATCAGATGTGCACTAATGTAAGAGAAGATACTCTGAGCTACCACAGACACCGGTGACTGTGCCTCGGGTCATGAAAGTGGGATACAGAAATGGGAGAGAGGACCACAGGCCTGGCCTGGCCTTTGATCAATGCTAGCCAGGCTGGAGCAGGACAGACATTTGGGGGTCTTCAAACAGCCCATGTGACTGGGTTTCAGCTCCGTGGCTTGGAGCATGAAAGGAGCCTTGGTTCCGATACCTAATGCCTTGCAATCTTAGGCAAATCGGATCTTTGTGCCTCACTTTGTGGAAGAATGAATTGGGCTTTAATAGCACTTACCTCATAGAGCTGATGTGAGGACTAACTGTAGTAAGGCCCGACTTCTCCAGGGCTACTAGAAATTCTTGCTTTCAGATGACACCCCAAATATACCTGGGACCCCCAGATCTTGTTTGCCCTTAACTTATACTTAAAAACCCCTATCCAAAAATGAGCTTAGAGTACTAAGTTTACCAAACACTACGCAGTCTTCCCATTTTACTGTGATCCCTCCAAACTAGTAACGCTTCAAATCAGCTTTATTATTAGTTTTGGTTCTTAAATAGAGATAGCAGTGGCTGGGGAGGGTGGCGCCTCATCCCTTCACCAATTTCCTTATCAGGGGGTAGAGAGGGAAAGGAGTCAACAGCTGGAGTTGCCATTGGCCACCTCCCATCGTTTACACAGCACCTGGCACATAGTAGGTGCGCAATAAATACCAGCTGTTCAGTTTGGGCAATGGATGGCAAGGCTCCCTTTGGGAGTCTTATACAAGACATTTTACATCCGGTTTACCCACGGTTGTTTGGTCCAGTTTAGGGCCCTTCCGGCTCCATTCTCCGCTTGTAGCTGCCCTATTTTCTAGGAAAGGCCTGGGTGGCACCCTAAGCCCTCTTCCCTGGGCTGCGGGTACTCGAGGGCGGAGACCAGGTCTCTACTGGTGGGCATGCGCTTATTTTTGGAAGGTAACACCTTGGGACCCCTCACTGCCGCCTACTTCTGATCCCCTCCGCCTGGGTTCAAGGGTGCTACTGGGGGAATATGAAGACCCCACGCAACTTGCGGGGATCCGCGTTCCGGGGACGGAGTCAGGCAAGGGGGCGGGATGTGGGCGCTGGAGGCGGGGCCGCAGGCTCCCAGGGCCACCCAGTCGCGCGGCCAGTCTTGCTCCGGGGCCAGAGGTCCGCATGCGGCCGCCACCCCAGGCCTCCCCTGCACGATCGCAGGGCTGGGGCGAGGCCCGCGCGCGCCGGCGGGAAGTCCACGGCCGCGGGAGCCTCCGGATCGGCTCCGGCAGCGCGCGTAGGCGGCCCCGCCACGCGCGCCCAAGTCCACGGACCAAGCCCGAGTTGGGAGGCCGGCTCTGCCCCCCCGAGAGCTTGCTCCGGCCGACAGCGTCCGGCAGCGCGGCACAGCCCCGCCCCCGCACGGAGCGCCGTCCAATGACGCGGTGCGCGCATGCGCACGAGCCACCGCCTGGCAGCCCGGCGAGGCTTTGTGACGTGCCTCCCGCAGCCCCACCCCCTCCAGCAGGGTCAGCAGGTCCCAGTGGTTGCGCTGGCGAGCCACGTCGCTCGGGGCCAGCCCGGCCTGGTCCCGCAGTCCTCGGGTAGCCCCGAGCTCCAGCAACAGCTGCGCCACCTCCATGGCGCCTTCCCGCGCCGCCAGGAACAGCGGCGTCTGCTCCTGTAGGACGGAGACGGGACCGCCCGGGGGCGGGGTCAGGGAGACCACGCCCATACGGCTCTCTCTAGACCCCCCCCCCGCCTGCCCCCAGCCTGAGGATGCTAGCCCCGCCCAAAATGGTCCCGGCCCCGCCCTTCTCCCGCCACGAACGCTGACCACGCCCATAGGCTCTGGCCCCGCCCCCTCCGGGTTTGCGGGATTCCCGCGCTTTTGCTCTCAGGCTCTGGGTTTGTTTGGTGTAGAGGCCTCGGCCGGCGCTAACCCTGCAGTCCTGGGCGTCTTTATCGGCTCCAGCCTGGAGAAGGCAGCGGGCGGCTCGGGCATTGTTCACGGCCGCGGCCCAGTGCAGCGCCGTTTTCCCTAGAACATGATGTGGGAGATCGTTACCCCGCGACTCGGGGTGGGGGGAGCAGACACCTGCATTCCGGTTTCCCACGGGTTCTGCCTTTGAGGGGGTGGGAGGGGAAGGGCTACTTGGGTTCCTCAAAGGCGGGAAGCATTGATTGTCCTGGTAACCGACACAGGCGGCCGGAAGCGGTGCCCTGGTGACGTCACCGGCGCGTGGGGACAATGGGCTTTGTTCTGGGTCGGTGGGACCGAGGGACTCCCTCCCACTTCCCGCAGATACTTTTCCTCTTTCCCAGTTCCTAGTGTGCATTGTTGAGAGCGATGGGGGATGTTCGCGCTTCAGATTGCTGCAGCTTGGAGGGAATATCCCATCCAGTCTGCTGCGATTGCACTTCGAACCCCAGTTGTACCCCACTCTGCCCAGCGTTTCTGTATATATCCCCTCCATTCATACCCCTTTTATCTCTGGCCCCTACGTCAGCTCGGGCTGCAATCAGTTCTTCAACTAGGTCCTCCACGGCCAGCCTGGCAGCCAGCATCAAAGGTGTGGTCCCGTCCTCTGTGCGTGCATCCACTGCGGTCTGTCTGCTGGCTAGTAGGAGCTAGGGGTAGGGGAAGAGGAAACAGCAAGGGCCTCGGACCCTTGGGTTAGCGAGATCAGGCCCCTCACGCTTCCCACCCCCTTCCCAGTTCGCATCCAGTTGTCTTTCCTCTTTGAGGTCTTCAATGTCAGTTTGTCAGACTCTAGGCGAGTCATATGAGTTTTACTTGCAAGCATGCTGCTGTGTCTTTTAGGGGCCCCAGTGCGTACTGACCTGGCAGACCTCCTGAGCATCAGCAGCCACTGCGGTGTGAAGTGGGGTCCGCCCTGCCCGGTCAGGCTGGTTGGGGTTGGCTCCAGCCTCAAGGAGACGACGGGCAGCAGTTGGCCTGGAGAACCGGGCAGCCAGGTGCAGGGGTGTCTCACCAGTGCCCACGGTGTGAGCCTGGGGACAGGCCCCTCCATCCAGCAGTGGTCCCCAGGGCTCAGGATTTCCCAGCCATGGCCCCTGGACAGTCCTGGACTCTACTCCCCCACAGCAGATCGCTGACATCAGGGGTGTTACCCCATCTGTGGATGAGGGTGAATAATGGGCTAGTCAAAAGGATGCCAGACAGAGAGAAGATGGCTCAGAGAATCACAGGCAGAGGAAGTGGGGCTCTGCCTCTTGATTTAGTATCACAAGTGACTTTCCTGCTCTTTGAGCTTCAGTGCCCTCAATCAGCAAAGTCTTAATTCTCAAACAGTGGTTCTCAAGTTTGAGCCTGGGTCACACTTATCTAGAGGGCTTTTTGAGACAGGGTCTCCCTGTAACACCAGCTGGCCTGGAATTCACTGTGTAGACCAGGCTGGCCTTGAATCACAGAGATCTACCGTCCTTTGCCTCTCAAGTGCTGGGACTAAAAGCATGTGCCACCACGCCTGGCCTCTAGAGGGCTTTTTAGATTGCTTAGTATGTCTGATTTCTGAGAACTTGAATTCCTTCCTGACAGATTCGCAGGTGATGTTGGTCTGTCCAAGGACCCTACTTTGAGAACTAACTCTTTTCAAGGCATCAGCTGTAAGGTTAGTTCTTCAAGTTTGGATACTAGTGGATTTTTTATTCTAAAAGGGTGGAATTTCTTTTTCTTGGTTGAGGGTGGCTCAGCTTGTGTACCAGGTCCACAGGTGTTCACCCCAGGAACTTCAATCTCGCACTCCTGAGGAGGCGTCAGCATGGCTACCTGTGGGAGCTCTTCACAGCCGCTGTTCAGTGGCCAGAGATGGCACTTGGAGGCTGGTTCTTCAGCCTTGAAGCAAGAGCAAAGAGCCGTGAAGGCCATTGAGTGGTCCTCTCATCCCCTCCATCACCCCCTTATCACCTGGCTGACCTCCTCTCCCTCCTCAGGGCCTGAGCACATGGCCACTCCATCCTCATCGACTTCCACCTCTGGCTTCAGCGCCCTGGACAGGGGTGAGTGGGTAGAGGTTACATAGGCCACCAATCAGGATCCCCGGCTTAAAGGGCAGTACTTTGTGTAGAGGCAAGATGCTATAGAGCTGTTGCTAAAAAGAGATCCAGAAAATTAGGGGGTCATTTATTTATTTATTTTTTGGTCTTTTTGAGACAGGGTCTCCCTGTAGCCCCATCTGTCCTGGATTCACTATGGAGACCAGGCTGGCCTTGAACTCACAGAGATCCGTCTGCCTCTGCCTCCCGAGTGCTAGGATCAAAGGCATGCGCAACCACGCCGGGCTAGGATCCCCAGCTTTTTAGCATCCTTCCTACCCCTCAACTTCTGCTGTACTATTTCTTTCCACAATGACACTCCGTTCCTTGAGCCCCAGACCCTCTCCATTCTCACTTGAGGCCAATGCTGTCCTCTCCTAGTGGGGGCCTCCGGCGGTGGGGTGCCTGCTGTGTCCCAGGCCTTCGAGTGAAACCAGGGGGCAGCCACAGGGCTCCATGCTCTCTACGGCGACGTCGGATGAGCTGGAGGACAAGAAGAGCCCCGACGGCCAGGAGAAGCACCCCAGCTACCGGAGAGCACAGTACAGGCCAGGGGAGTTGGTTGACTGGGGGCCCTGGAGAGAGAGAGAGAGAGAGAGAGAGAGAGAGAGACCCAAAGAGGGACCATTCCTGGTGAGACTGGGCCAGTGGTGTGAACCCTTTGCCTCAGTTTCCTTACCTGTGAAATGGAAATAACACCTGCTTTATGGAGTTAAATGTTTTAGGAGTAAAATGGTGAGAGCAGAGCCTATGGAAGTGTGATATGATAGTTATTTCAGAAGCTCAGACCCAAGGTTGGTTAGAGGACCATGGCAGAGGTTAGCGCAGAGTACTTAGGGAAATAAGATGGGATGCCAAAGAACCAGAGTCAGGAGGAGGTCCAGCCTGAGGAAGAGGTGTGTGTTTAGTGGGGGCCAAGTCCCCCCACCAAGAGCAAGTTAGGTCCTGGTTTGATCTCTCCAGAAATGGCGTCAGCAAAGGTCAGGAGAAACTGTTGGGGTCACCTACCAGTGCCTGCATGAGGGTGGGCAGCCAGCAAGGGTCCAGGCAGCAGGGGCTCCAGGGCTCCCACTGCAGCCATCGCTGCAAGGAATCGGAGCAGGAGCCCAGAGTCCCAGGGGCATCGGGATGCAGGGTGGTCAGGGCCACAGTGGGACTGATCCACACCCATTACCACCACAAACCTACAGGAAAGGCACCTCAGGGATCTGTGGCTAGTCTGGGTGCCCTTCCTTCTGCCCCCCCATCCCTCACCTACCCAGCGCCAAGGGAGTCTGTCTCCTTGTCCATAGGCTGGGTGTGAGAGGCTTGTCTCTCCTGAGGAGAGGAATCCCGAGTTCCCCTCAGCTCCTCTTCGGCCCGTGCCCCCGGGTAGGGGAATACCATGTCCCTGTTCTCACTGTCCTTCCTCACCCACAGCCCAACCCTCAAAGTCAGGGACAGCACTCGGGCCAGCGCAAGTAGCTGCTGGTCCAGGGCTGGGGGGCTTAGCACCACCAGCAGGGCAAGGGAGGGCCCCCACTCTGAGTCCCCATCTTCAGGTCTGCAGTCACCCCCATCCCAGCCACATTCTGCAGTGTTGCATCCTTTCTCGCAGTGCCCATTGTGGAAGTGATCTTGGCAGTATTGATCATAGGCTGGGCTGTGGTAGAGGAGAGATCCGACTCAGGACACTCCTCAAACCTGACTCCCCTCTTTAGAGAGAATTCCTGGCACACCAAGGCCTCTAGGACTCTGGCTGCTAAGCAGAAGCAGCTATGCTTCCAGGATGGTCACCAAACACTGACATCTCCTGACACTGGTCTCCTAGGACCAGCTTTCCCTCCTGTCCCTCCAAACTCTCCTTTCTCCCTGAAAGAGAGTTTAAGACCCCTTTCAAGGGTACTGGTTGCCAGGAGAGGTGTTTGATGTCTATAGGGCTGAGGGAGGGAGGCTTGAGGCCCGAGTCCATAGGTCTCTCAGGAGTCCAGATATAGGCTGTGACCCACCTGGTATCAGTCCCCTGGTTGCCCTGGATTGGAGTCCAGAGTCTATCTTAGCACAGAAACTCCTTGAAGCCTAAGGCTGTGTCATCCTGTAACTTGGGCATCTATGTGCCCCCCGACTCCCACCCATCCCCCATTCCCAGTGGGCTCACGTGCAGGCTGGCGGCATCTCACAGTCATAGCCATCAAACAGACACTCTTCAGAGTTGCACTGTGGGTGACACCGTCCATCCCGGAACAGAAGCCAGCACTGGGAGTGGGAGGGGCAGCCCTTCCAGGGGTCCGGGACCCCCAGAGAGCAGTCCCCTCCATCCCAGTTTCCTTCTGGACCACTGCAGCTAGCATCACAGGCTCCATCCCCACCTCTGCCCTCACACCCCTCTGCCCCTGGCCCCTGACACCGGGGCCCTGGAGAGTTGGGAGGGCAGGAACATTGAAAACCAGGGCCACCCAGCCCAGGGGTCTCTGAGCAGCTGCCGTTGTGCAGGCAGGGTGAGGGGGGTCCACAGCCTCGAGGAGCTGGAGGTGTCAGGCAGTCGGGGCCCCCAAAGCCACTGAGGCAGGCACAGAGGGGTGGCAAGCCCTGCCTAGGGGAGGGCAGACACAGGCCCCCGTGGTGACAGTGATGGATGCCGCAGGAAGGGGCTCTGTGGCTGCAGGTGGGGCCTTGGAAACCCTGTGGCAGGAAGGAGAGGATGCAGAGATTTTAGGCTGGACTTCCACACCCTTCATGTAAACCTGGGGGTTCTAGATTGTCACGTCTAAAAGGGACCTCAGAGTTACTTATATGGGTGTTATAAGTATGCCTCGGATTACACACTTGACAGAATACGCTTGGTGGAAATGGATGAACCAGCATCCTGGGAGGTAAAGTTGATAGGGTTGAACTCTGTTACAGCATTATCTTAATCCTTGGAGATAGGATCATGTGCTGCGTCCCAGAGAGAACCGAGGAGGGTGAATGTTCTTAATATTGGGATTCTAGGTTTGGTTTAGGATGTTAGAATAATGAAGGCCAGGCGCAAACCAGTGTGAGTTGATCATGACAAGGTTTATGATGAATCCAGTTCAATGTATCTTGGAATGTTAAGACTTTATTTTTCATTTTATTTTTGATTGTGTGCGTGCGTGCGTGCGTGCGTGCGTGCGTGTGTGTGTGTGTGGCTGGGCATTATGCGTATGTGTGCATAGGAGGCCACTGAAGTCAGAGGTATCAGATCCCCCAGGAGCTGGAGTTACTGGTGGTTATGAGCTGCCAGGTGTGGTGGCGCCTGCCTTTAGTCCCAGCAGAGGTGGATCTCTGTGAGATCAAGGCCAACTTGGTCTATGTAGCAAGTTGCAGGCCAGCTGGGGCTACAGGGAGACCCTATCTCAAAACAAAACCAAAAAAACTGCAGCAAAACTAGGTGATTCTGAGCTGCCTTGTGTGGTTGCTGGGAATTGAAATGTACCTTAACCACTGAGCCATCTCACCAGTCCTTGGAAGTTTTTTTTTTTTTTTGAGACAGAGGAGTCTCATGTATCTCAGGCTAACCTTAAATTCACTATGTAGCCAAGGCTAACCTTGAGCTCTCCATCCTCTTGCCTCCACTTCCCAAGTACAGGGATTATAGGACTGCACCACCATATCTTCTGAACACAGCCTCCGTGCTGCTGACTGATCTTACCCCTCCTGACTGATTCCAAGGGCCGCTCACCACTGTGAACTTGGGATAGCTCTCTCCGGTAATTCCCATTCCAGCACTCTCCTGCACGCCCCTCCAGGATTCTGGCTTCTGTATTCTCACCTTTCATCCTCTGAGGGTCAAGAGAGAAGCCAGTGTTGCAGCCGCTTACCTTGGGGCAGTGGCAGGTGAAACCAGGGGGCAGTCCTGCTGTGGCCTCACAGGACCCTCCATGGGTGCAGGGCTGACTCTGGCAGGGGTCCGTGTCTATCTCACACCTCTGGCCTGTGGTGGGGTGAGACTAAATGTCACACATGGTTTCATCACTGCCTCTGTCCTGACTCACTTCTGAGAGTCAACTCTGTACTAGATGTATGTGGGTGAAAGGATTCTAGGGTGTCTTCTCTGGGATGTGATGTGGCAGGCAGGAGGATGAGGAGGCTAGGCTATGTTATGGGTACAGATGGTCTGGGTCTCCCTAGTGTGATTAGACGGGCCCCAGAGATGTCCATTCCCCAAATCCAGGTCTCACCTGTGTGTCCAGGCAGACACTGGCAGTAGAAGGCATTGGCTAGAGATTTGCAGGCCGCAGTGCCTTTGGGGTGGCAGGGCTGGTCGAGACACTCATCCACATCCCCCTCACAGCGTAGCCCCACAAAACCTGGAGGGCAGGCACAGTGGAAACCTCCAGGTTTGGAGGTGCAGGTCCCATGGTTGTGACAGGGCTGAGACTGACAAGCATTGAGTTCTTTTGAGCAGTTCTGGCCTTCATAGCCTGGGGCACACTGTGGACACAGAGGATCAAAGGAACCAGTGGATGAGCTGAGCTCAAGGTAGTCAGCCCATCCCTCCACCTTCTGGCTCAACAGCATCACTGAACTCAGTATCTTTCACCATCACATGTAGCTCAGGCCTGTCTCAACACAACACACTGTCATCTACTAACACAGCCTAATCTTCCCCAGTCCCAAATAATGCACACTACCACTGAGCATAGCCTCAATTTTGGTCATCTCTCTCTCTTCCCTACCAATGTACCCTCCAGGTCCTTCCATAAATTCATACGCTTCTACTGAGTGCCTACTTGGTGCCAGGCACTGTGTATGTGCACACATGTGCATGGGTATACATATGCATAACACACGGAGGTCAGAGGAGATTGGGATTACAGACATGTGCCTGACTTTTTGTGTAGGTTCTGGGGCTCTGAACACAGATCCTCATGCTTGTGAGGCACACAATTGACAGCCATCTCCCCAGCCTGCTTGGTCTGTCTTACGTACAGATAAAGGGAAATGGAGAATTCATTCCTGTTTCTAGGAAGCTCAGCCAGGCAGAGTAGAGAGGTTGTTGGCATTTAGCGTGTAATTTTTATACAGAACCTTGTATAGTCCTCCTGGAAGCTTTTAATAAAGTTTATCTCATTAGATCCTCACTTCACAGATGATGAAACAGAGTCTGCAGAAAGGTGAGGTGATTGCACAAGTCACACAGCTCTAGTGACCCGAGCACAACTAGCTCTGCCCTGAACCACGTTCCAGTTGCTTCATGCTGTTCTGCTTGTGAAGGAAAAGTCACCGACAAATCCATAACTTCCCCCTCAGTGCTTGACAGAGGGTTGAGCAGGCCTGAAGAAGGGAGGCTTTGGAGAGCTGAAGAAAGTAGATTGGCAGAGAATCTGGGGAGTGGCTCAAGAGGGCTGAGTGGAGGGTGGTTCTGGAAACCTCCAGAGGTGGGAGTTTCATGAAAGATGTGGAATTGAATAAAGAGTACAGAGAAATTCACTGATCACTATACACTTTTCTTCTTTGAGACAAGGTCATCCCTAGCCTACCCTACTTAATGTCTGGGAATGTTCCTAAGAGTTAGACATGGTGGGGCTTTGGACATAGCCCATCTGGTAGAGTGTTTGCCTACTATGCACAAAGTCCTGGGTTCCATCCCCAGTACTGTATAAACTGGGCATGGGGGCACATGCCTGTAACCCCAAAGGTAGGAGGACCAGGAGTTCAAGGTCATCCTCAGCAACATAGTGAGTTTGAGGGCCAGCCTTGGCTACATGAGACCCTATTTTAAAAAAAAGTTGGAAGTGGTGGCTGCAGAGTGGAGTCAGGGATCTGCTGGGGACACACCTTGTGCTTCTGATCACAAACTGTGTTTCTGAGCACAGGAATTAGACTGTTCCTCATTCCAAGTTTTCTCTCTTTGGCATTGTGACCTGGACCAGCAACCCCTCCTCTGGCTCAGAGAGAAACAGGACAATTAGAGGCAGGTGCCTCTGGGTCACCCTGCAGTGGAAGTGGGTGGGAAAGGCTGTTCTAGGCAGAGGCACAGGAGGGGACAAGGCTGAGAAGTGGAGCTGGTGTGTGTGTGTGTGTGTGTGTGTGTGTGTGTGTGTGTGTGTGTGTGAAAGAACGCCATGGGATTTTTGTGGTGCTGGGGGGGGAGAGGGGGGCAGAGGGAGGAGAGGGGTGAGATGGGGAAACAGGACAATTAGAGGCAGGTGCCTCTGGGTCACCCTGCAGTGGAAGTGGGTGGGAAAGGCTGTTCTAGGCAGAGGCACAGGAGGGGACAAGGCTGAGAAGTGGAGCTGGTGTGTGTGTGTGTGTGTGTGTGTGTGTGTGTGTGTGTGTGTGTAAGAAAGCCATGGCAGTTTTATGATGCTGGGGCAGGAGAGTGGGGGACAGGGACAGATGAGGTATGATAGGCAGGTAGGGACATGTGCCATGTAGGGCTTTGGCTGCATTCCAAGGACGAAGTTGACATCCCTGAAGGGTGTTAACCAGGATGGACAGGTTAGCTTAACATTATCAGTAGAGCCCTTTGGCAGTGGGTAAAGACTGAACCAATAGGCACAAATGTGGATGCAAGGCTGATAGGTAGGATGGTGGGTAGGAGTTTGATCAAGGTATCAAGACAGAATGCAATAAAGGCCTAGGCTAGTACAGAGAGATAAAGGGTGAAGGGGAAAGGACGAGTTGGGAAACGAGGTAGAAAGCCTGGCCTGGTGGTTAGTGGGATGACTGGGCTAAAGGGTAGAGGACAGGATACTTGAGGTCCTCACCAACCCTCCCCACTGTGTTCCTTTTCCACACAGTCCTGTTGCCCCCTCAACCTCCATCTCCTCTAGATCTCTTACCTGGCAGAGATACCCACTGGGCTGGACCACACAAGTGGCTCCATGCTGGCAAGGCTTAGACTCACAGGGATTCATCTTATCCTGGCATAGCTTGCCTTGGAATCCAGGGGGGCAGCGGCAGAAGTAAGAGGCCCCCCTGTCAATACAGATGCCTCCATTGTGGCACAGGGCAGAGACCTCCAGGCCTGGGGAGAAAGACAGACAGGAGAGGATGACACATATTGTGGGGAAGGATGCTCGGGGTAGGCAGGGTGAGATGTCAGTGTGGTGGGGTTATCTGTGGTCCAGCCTGGGTCAGTTTTGAGTGGCTCCAGGTAAGTTATGTCCCTGGCAGCTGAGTGAAGCTGGAGTCTTGTCTGGGCTTGGTGGTATTGAGTGTGGTGGCAAAATGGAGCTGTGTTAGGCTGCCCTGGCTGTTGAACTGTAAAATTACTCATTATAATTTGCTCTTGATAGCTTTGGTCAAAACACAGGCTGTGTGACTGCCGTGAGGGTTGGGGCAAAGGAGGACTCTGTTCCCCAGTTGGCCCCAGGGCTGGTACCTTGGCTCAGCGCAGCCTTCTGGCAGGACACTGGGAGGTCACAGAGGGGCCCTGTCCATCCCTGAAGGCACAGGCACCGGAAGGAAGGCCCACTCTGGAGGCAGCGGGCAGTGTGTGGGCAGGCCTTCTGGGCACACAGGTCCATCAGAGTCTGAGGGTTGGAAGAGAGTATGAGCCAGGCAAGGCCTGAGCTTCCCAGGCCTGGAGCTGATCCTCTGCCAATTCTGGCAAAGTCCCAAACCTTTCTGACTTGTTGGAAATGGCCTGAACCAGGTGACTCGCCCCGATTTCCTCCAATCTTCACATTCCAGAATAGCTCTCAAGATCAGAAATCCACTCAGGTCCCCATCTCCAGCATTTTTGGGACAGAGTCTCAGGTAGCCTAGGCTGGTGTCAAACTTGCTATGTAGCTGAAGCTGGACTTGATCCCTGATCCTCTTGCCTTTGCCTCCCAAGTGCTAGCATAACAGGCAGCACCACTATACCCAGCCTCCCTGCTGGCTTGCTTCACCTCAACCTCAAGAAAGATCCCCAATTTCTAGATCTCCCTACCTCTTTTCACACGAACATCTCCCCAGGCTTCCCTGTGGTCCACCTTTTTAGTCCTGGAAACCACTAACTAGAGCTCGTCAGCTCCTCCCTCTTTGGTATCCCGCACCTTCCTTACCTGGCAGCTGCTTCCGGTGTATCCATGGGGGCAGATGCAGCGGGGACCTTGAGGGGTGTCCTGGCAGGTTGCCCTGTTCTTACAGGGACTGGAGAAGACAGAAACAGAGGGAGTATGTAATGAGTGGCAAGCCCCGGGGAGATGGTTGGCTGGCTGGGAAGGGAGGAGGTAGCACAGAGCCCAAGGAGAGGTGGAGAGGACGTGGGGGAGGCACAGGGTCCCTCTGTTCCTCCTGGGGGTTCCTCAGGTGCTACTCACCTGTCTGTACAGCTGGGGCGGATCCTCCTCTCACAGCGTGGGCCCTGGAAACCCGTGGCACAAAGGCAGGAGGAAGTGCCAGGCCTATTCACACAGGTACCCCCATTGAGGCACGGGGCTGGAGAGAGGAGGCTGTGAGGGGTTGGGTTCCATGCCTGTAACCTGGCTGGTGACCTTGGTCACACACAACGCACAAGACATACACTTCCCACCAAAGCCTCAGTTTACTTATGTCTGGTTGCTTATTTGTTTTTTAAATATTTTACTTATTTTTATTTTATGTGTATTAGCGTATTGCCTGCATGTGTGTAAGTGCACCTGTGTTGGTTAATGCCCACAGAGGTCAGAAGAGGGCATAGGATTCCTCCTGGGACTGGAGTTATGGACAGTTGTTAGCCACCATGTGGGTGCTGGGAATTGAATCTGGGTCCTCTGCAAGAGCAGCCAGTGCTCTTAACAGCCATCTCTGCAGCCCCCATTACTTATTTATTAAGAACCCATTTTTGTTTAATCCCAGCACTCAGGAGGCAGAGGCAGGTGGATCTTTTTGGTCTACATAGTGAGTTTCAGGCCAACTAAGTCCACAGGGAGACCTTGTCTAAAAAATTATTTTTACTTTTTTTTTTTTTTTTTGTAAAATGGGGTTTTGTGCATGTCAAAGTGTGGAGATCAGAGGACAACTGGAAGGAGTCAGTTCTTTCCTATCCCTGGGTCCTGGGAATTGAACTCAGGGCTTGGTGGCAAGCACCCTGACCCACTGAGCCATCTCCTTTGCCCTAATTTATTTATTTGACAGGGTCTCATGTAGTTTAGGCTGGCTTTGGACTGGATATACAGGGAGGGAAGGATAATCTTGAACTCCAGATACTTTGCTTCTACCTCCTGAGGGCTAGAATTACAGGTGTGCACCACCATGCCTGGTTTATGTAGTGCTGGGATCCAACCCAGGGCTTCTTGGATGCTGGGCCAGCCCTCTACTAACTGAGCTGTATTCCCAGTCTCCAGTTAAATGTTCAAAGCTGTCACAGACACCCTGCCCAGCCCATGTATCCGCCTGTGGTTCAGCCCCAGGATGGTACTCACTAGACACACAGTGGTCAATGACAGTTTGGCAGTGGGGACCGGTGTGACTTGGAGGGCAGGTGCAGGAGTAGCCTTTGGGACTGGTGCTGCAGGACCCACCGTTGAGACAGGGTCCTGAGTGACAAGCTGTTGCCTCTTCACCACAGGTGGGTCCTGAGGAAACAGGTGGGATCTGAAAAATGGGGTCCTCCTCTCCCTCCTCTCTCTCTCTCCTCTTTATCCTTTCCCTGACCTTCCTGACCCTCTTCCCCTTATCCGCTACTCCATCCAGCCTATTTTCTTACTACCTCCCAAGAGCTGCCCGTGTCTCCGCAGCTCACACTGTTTTCCTTGCAGCTCTCTTAGCATCGCCTTTGATTTTGGAGGCTGGAGTGTATATGGTCTAGGGAGAGACTCACCTGTGTAGCCTGTGGGGCAGGTACAATTGTAGCCAGAGGGTTGTGGGTGGCAGGTCCCCCCATGGGCACAGGGTGTGGAGATGCAGCCCCCGAGCTCTGTGTCACATTCTGGTCCGGTCCAACCCACATCACATACACAGGAGGATCTGCTGTAAAGAGGAGGGGAGAGGTCTTTGCTCTCTTTTCCCTGTTGGAGGAACTCTTACGACTGTCTCGCTATTGGCCTTGAAACTCTTATTGGCTCCCCTACTTCCTCTTTCCTTCCCTCCCCTCTTCTTTCTTGTTCTTTTTAAAGGGTCTTGTGTAACCCAGGCTGGCCTTGAATTCACTATATAGCTGAGGATGACCTTGAATTTTTTTTTTTTGAGACAGGGTCTCCCTGTAGCCCCAGCTGACCTGGAACTCACTATGTAGACCAGGCTGGCCTCCATTTCACAGAGCTCCACCTGCCTCTGCCTCCTAAGTGCTGGGGTTAAAGGCATGAACCCCCGCACCTGGCTGACCTTAAACTTCAGAGCCTCCTATCCCTATCTCTTGAGTGCTGAGATTTCAGGCCACCACACCCAGTTTATGCAGTGCTAGGGATCAAACCAGGGCATTCTAGGCAAGCACTCTACCAACTGAACAATACACCCCCTGTGTCTCCCGACTTTTAGAGACAGGGTCTCATGTATCTCAGTCTGGCCTTGAACTCCTGATCCTCCTGACTTTACCTCCCAAGTTCTGGGAGGTAAAGGAATGTAACAACACACTTGGCTCGCTCTAGGGTGTCTCCCCAGTGCTGGGAACAGTGTCCACACAAAGATGCTCACTAGATATTTATGTACATGATACATGGGAGATGAATCTGCCTGGGATTAGTGCTCTTCTCTCTGCTCTGACCCTCCAGTCCTCCTCCATCACCCTCATGACATGCTAACTCTCTCCTCTTTGGGTACCACTCATCAGTTGTGCCCCCACTTTCCCTTTCCCAAAGAACCTTGCCATTGTAAGGTTTCCCACCGGTCACATCCCACTGGCCTGTACCTCGCCTACTGTCTTCTTCTGCCCTAGCTGAGGCCGAGAGGGGAGCGTGGGGAGGCCTGGAAGGTGTTACCTTTGGCAGTGCCCGTGGTGGCAGGTGCAGCTGTCCTCAGAGGGGGTACAGCCAGGACTTCCGTCAGGGCAGAGGCAGTGGCCCTTGTCTTCCTGATCTTGGCATTTCTGCTCAGGTTGGCACAGGTTGGGGGTACACAGGGGAACCTCACAGAGCTGACCTGTGGGTTGTGGGGAGATGACGGAGAGGAAACAAAGCCCCTTGATGTTCTGAGGGTGTCAAAGGCCACTTCTTTTTTTTTATTTATTTTTTTATTTTTTGAGACAGGGTCTTCCTGTAGCCTCAGCCGGCCTGGAACTCACTAGACCAGGCTGGCCTCAATGTCACAGAGATCCACCTGCCTCTGCCTCCCAAGTGGTGGGATTAAAGGCGTGTGCCACCAGGTCCAGGTTAAAAACATTCATTTTTACTTTATATGTACGAGTGTCTTGCCTGCATGTATGTATGTGTACCACATGCATGCCTGGTGGTCATGGAAGCCAGCAGAGGATGTTGGATACCCTTGGAGCTAGAGCTACAGACAGTTGTAAGATACTCTGTTGGACTCTGGGAACTGAAACCAAGTCCTTTGTGAGAGCAGCAAATACTCTTAACCACTGAGCCATCTTTCTAGCCCAAGGGGCACTTCTTTTGTTTTTTTCAGTGCTAGGAATTGAACTTAGGGTCTCGCACATGCTAGGCAAGTGCTCTACCACTGAGCTACATTCCCAGCCCCAAAGGCCACTTATGTGTGGTTTAATATTTTATTTATTATTTTTATTTTGTGTATGTGTGTATTGCCTGCATAGTGCACCCGTGTCGTGCAATGCCCTCGGAGGACAGAAGAGGCTGTAGGAGCCCCTGGGACTAGAGTTACAGACAATTGTTAGCTGCCATGTAGGTGCTGGGATTCAAACCCGGGTCTTCTTCAAGAACAGCCAGTGTTCTTAACTGCTGAGCCATCTCTCCAGCCCCCCATGCTTTCTTTTAAAAAAATATTTATTTTTATTTAATGTGTATGAGTGTATTGCCTACATGCGTGTAAGTGCACCCTTGTCATGCAGTGCCCAGGGAGGTCAGAAGATGTCTAATTCCCCTGGAACTGGAATTACAGACAGTTGTTAGCTCCCTTGTGAGTGTTGGGAATTGAACCTGGGCCCTCTGTAAGAGCAGCCAGTGCTCTTGACTGCTGAGCCGTCTCCCCAGCCCTTCAGGGCACTGTCTAACTTCCTATCACATGGGCCCCTCTGTGACCTGATTTTCCTACATCTTGGTCTTGTTCTGCCCTATGGCCCTGTGCTCTCCCCACCTGTGCCTTCGTCCGTGTGGTCATCGCCACTTCCAACACACTGCCTGGCTTTCTGTTCTTAGACGCCCCACTAGTCTCTTAAGATTCAGTTCAGTCATTACTTGGGTGAAAAAGGATCATGATTGGAAAAAGTTTCTGCATTTTGCTGTCAGAGTCACTGTGTCATAGTCAACAAAAGCTGTGTTGGTCTCTGCAGTGGGTTTAAAGCCACTTCTGTGTCTTGTGTGGTAGGAGTTACTTGATGTAGTTAAAATTTGTTATAATTGGGGGCTGGAGAGATGGCTCAGCAGTTAAGAACATTGACTGTTCTTGCAGAGGACCCGGGTTCGAATCCCAGCACCCACATGGCAGATGTCACTGTGTCATAGTCAACAAAAGCTGTGTTGGTCTCTGCAGTGGGTTTAAAGCCACTTCTGTGTCTTGTGTGGTAGGAGTTACTTGATGTAGTTAAAATTTGTTATAATTGGGGGCTGGAGAGATGGCTCAGCAGTTAAGAACATTGACTGTTCTTGCAGAGGACCCGGGTTCGAATCCCAGCACCCACATGGCAGATAACTGGCACCCTTGTGTAGTCACTGGACAGCTGGAGAGATGGCTCAGCGGTTAAGATCGCTGACTGCTCTTGCAGAGGACCCAGATTCGATTCCCAGCACCTGCGTTGTGGCTGTGAACTGTCCTTGACTTCAGTTCCTGGGGAATCCGAAGCCCACTTCTGACCTCCATGGCATTGCACAACACGGGTCCACTCACATACATGCAGGCAATGCACTCATCTCATACACATAAAATAAATAATAAATAAAATATTTAAAAAATTTTATAATTGTATGTGTGTGTTTGCATGACGTGTGTGCAGGCAGGTGTGTGCCATGGTGCATGTGTGAAGGCCAGAGGACGATGTGTGTCTCTTTCTTCCTTCACGTGGATTCCAGGTTTGAACTCACATCTTTAGGCTTACATGGAAAGCAGTTTTACCTGGCGGGCCAACTCGCTGGCCCAACGTTTACTTATTTACCTTGGTTTTTGAAGTACTGGGGATTGAACCTAGGGACCCATGCTGGTTAGGCAAGCACTTTGCTACTGAGCTACACAGGGAGAGCATCAGGCTCTCATGGTAGGCACTTAATAAATGCCTGCTGAAAAGCACGTGCATGGCTTCCTTCTCAGCCCTGATCTCGGCTCCTGAGTTCCCTGCACATCCATTCATTCATATTGTGTCCAGTGTGGGTCTATGATAACACACAACCTTGTCCCGATGGCTATCCAGTTGTGTAGGTTTTGTGCTGACTGACTTAAGGGGTACCATTCCATTCTGAGCCCACATCCCAACTACCAACCATCCGCCCGTGGCCTCTTGCTCACACACCCACCCAGTTCTTTCTCTGTCTCTCCTGACCTGTGAAGTCAGAGGGGCAGAGGCAGAAGAAGGCTCCTGGGAGATCAAGGCAGCTGGCTCCAGTGGGGCAGGGGTCACTCAGACACTCGTCCACCTCTGTCTCACACTGTGGTCCTTCAAAGCCTGCGGCACAGAGAGGGGTCAGGAACTACATAGATGTCCCAACCCCCTGGGTCTGAGCTTCAGTTTACCTGGGGGACACTCGCAGCTGAAGGCTCCAGGCTGGTCCCGGCAGCGCCCTCCATTGGTGCAGGGGGAGCTGCTGCACTCGTCCATGTCATCCTCACACCTGGCACCAGTGAAGCCTGGCAGGGAAGGGGGTGGGATGGGAGGGGAGCCCAAGGTCATTCAGGGAGGCACAACATTAAGAAAGGTGAACCTGGAGGGCTTCTCTAAGGAGACGGGACACTTGGGTTGGGCAACAGAGGGTGATGCACAAAGAGAGGAGTCAGACTCTGCTGACTGCGGGGCTGTGAGCAAGCTACCCAGCATCCCTCCCTGCTCATTCCCTCCACGTATGGTGTAGTATTGGAACACAGGCCGGGGGTGTGGCTCAGTGGTAGAGTGCTTGCCTAGCATGGGTTCCATCCCACTCATTGATAAAGAGAGAACCTATTTTAGGTTACCATTGACTAAACGACTCAATGTCTAAAAACCACAAAGCCCAAGTCCCTGTCCTGGAGTAAATACTCAGTAACTAGCTATCTTAATAGTGTGGAGCAGAGGCTTGTGTGGTGGAGATGGAGACGAAAGACCTGGGAGGCATTATCTGTGTCCAGTGTCTACGTCAAGGCCAGCCTGGGACCCAACATGCAGGGAGAGTACACAGAAGACAGGACAGACATCTGGGCGATTTGTCAGGACAGAGGTGAGGGTACGGAGTAACACAGGAAGATTTAGGGATGTGACAAGAGTTCGGAGAGCTGAGGAGCTGGAGAAATAGGGTGCTCTGTGGCCAGATTGGAGGGTGGTTCAAGGAAGCCTGGCCTCTGGGAACTGAGGCGGGCCAGACTGGAATCTACCTACCGGGCAGGCAGACACACCGGAAGCCATTGAGCAGGTCATGGCAGCTAGCTTGGTTCAGGCAAGGATCAGAGGCACACTCATTGATCTCCACCTCACAGAGCTGCCCTTCCAAGCCTAAGGACACAATGTGGTGAGAAGTGGGGTTCAGCCAGGCTCAGCCAGGCGGTAGCTCAGCCTTCTATCTGGAAGACCTGGGTTCTGAAGCAGCTCTGCTCCGAACTTGCAGAGTGCCCCTCTTGCCCGGTGCTGCCTGTGTGTTGGACCCTGAGGTCTATCTCGCTCTTCTGGGGATGTGACTTTGCTTCCCTCAAGTATGAAGGTTCAGGGACAGGGGCACCTGTAGGGAGGCTGAGAGGAAATGCCTTTTGGGGCCATTTCTGTGAATCTAGAGGTCGGGGCTGACCTGGTGGGCTGCCCAGCCGGGAGACACTCGAGGTACAAAAGAAACGAGTGGGCTTCCGCCCAGGGGGCGAGTCACATCTCTTGTTCTACCTGGGCCACTGTGCCAGGGGAACAGGGATCCCAACTGGGGTGGTGGAGGTGGTTGCGGCAGTGATCGTGGTGGTTGTGATGGTGATTATGTTGTTGGTAATGGTGGTTACAGTGGTGATGGTGGTGGTGATAGTGATGGTGATGATGGTATTGGTGATGGTGGTAGTGATGATGATGGTGGTGGTGGAGGAGGATTTGAAGGGCATTAGGGAAGCAGAGTCACTCCCATATTTTCACCTTTAAGTTAACCCTGGTCTGCATGATGTCATGGTCCATCTCCTGGACTCACTGCCTCTTTCCCCTCGCCTGGGCAGCCTGCCTCTGACACTCCTTGGTATCTCCAACCTTCTCCCTTGGGTCACTAAACAGTTCTTTCTACTTTTCTGTGCTTGTCTATGGGTAGTCTGAGCCATGATGCTTGGGTGCTGCTCAGCTTCCAAGGGGGGTGGAGTGAAGTGGTTGAAACTGTTGAAGTCCTGGGTTGGACTCTGCTACTGACTTGACCTTGGAGAAACCACTCGACCTTTCTGTGCCCCAGTTTCTTAGTTTTTAAAACGGGGATAATAGCGTGCTGACCCCTGGTTTTGAAGAGCATTAGACAATGTATGCGAGATGCTCAGACACTGCCTGGCACAGTCAGCTGCTATTTTTTGTCATCCCGGCTGGCTTGTGGCTCTCTCCCACCTGCCCTGGTAAAGCCAGCCTGGAGATGGGGCAGCCCTGTGGCATTCCTTTCCAATTGCATCAGCTCTAGCTAGTTGGAATTTCAAGGGTTTATGCTTTGTCTCTGCATGGGAGAGTTGTGTGATTAAGGAGGACATTCTGGATGGGCACAAGCAGAGAGGCAAGTTTGCTAACTGCCGTGCTGCCTTCTTTGCAGACTGTGCAGTGGAACTGGTTGTACAGTCTGGTGATCATGGAACTGAACAGTGCACAACCTTGTTACTGTCTAGGGAAGCCCACCCTTGTCCTAGGGTCATGAGTGTCCCAGTTTTTCACTAGGGGGTAGGAAGAGGAGAAGCATGCTGTAGTAAATGATGCCAATTGCTCTGGCTAGACAGCTACCCTGGGTTCAGTGTCAGTGTTCCATCTCTCCCACACCAAGGCCACACCCAGCTGTACCTGGTGGGCAGAGGCAGCGGAAGGTGGCCAGTAGGTCCAGGCAGGTGCTGCCCGGGCTGCAGGGCTGGGACAGGCACTCGTTGTGATTGGCTTCGCAGCGGGAGCCCGTGTAGCCCGGTGGGCATAGGCAGTTAAAGGAGCCAGGGGTGTTGAGGCAGGTGCCGCCATGCTCACAGGGACTGGGACCCTGCTGGGCTGGGAAGAGAGAAGAGCTGGGATTCACAGGGTTTGGGGGTAGAGACCAGACTATCAGGGAAGGTGATGTGGGGAGGGTCTGTCTGTGGTTGATGAGACCGAATTGGGGAGGGAACTTGGGAGCTTGTGTATTTATGATGGAGGACGAAGGGACAATCTGGGGTTTGGAGGGCTGGGCACTGAGGAGAGGGACCGTACCAAACCTAGACCCTGTCAAAGAAAGAAGCTGTTTAGTATTTTTGTTGTTGTTTATTTTCTTTCCATTTTCATGTGTGCGTGTGTGTGTGTTTGTGCGTGTGTGTATGTGTGTGTGTGTGTGTGTAGGTCGGAGGTTGATGTGGGAAATCATCATTAATCACTCTTCTGTCTTACTCATTGAGGCAGGATCTCTCAATCAAACCCAGAGATGGACTTAGTACTGCAAGCCCTGCCTCTGCCTTCTGAGTCTGGAATTAGAGGTGGTCCATCCACCACATCCACCCAGCATTTGGTTCTGGGGACCTAAACTCCTGTCCTCAGGTTTGTGTAGCAACTACTTTAACCACTGAGGCATCTACCCATTCTCACATTTTAGTTTTTTGAGACAGGATCTCACATATCCTTAGGCTGGCCTTGAACTCAATATGTAGCTGAAGCTGACCTTGAACGTCTGATCTTGCTTCTCCCTCCTGAATGCTGGGATTACAAGCATGCACCACTATGTCTAGCTAGCATTTTTTTTTTCCCCAATTTGAAAAGCAATCTGTCCTGTTCTCTATTTAGCACGAAGGCCTGGTTGGTCTTAGAGGGGCTCTGCTGGGGGACCCTTACCTATTTGACATTCATCCAGGTCTTGGTGACAGGTGGGTCCTGAGTAGCCAGGCTGGCATAAGCAGAGGGTGGAGCCCGTCAGAGGATTGGTGTTGCACTGGGCATCTCCATGACACGGCTGGCTCAGGCACATGTCTTCCAGGTGGCACAGGAGGCCTGCAGGGTACCCAGGGCAAGGTGCTCGCAGTCCGTTTGGGGTTCCCCAATGCCCGCCTGGAGCTGCACCTCTCCCGCAACCTCCCCATTCCCTCTGCCTGCACCTGTGCGTCCAGGTGGGCAGAGACAGGTGAAGGAGCCCACACGGTCAATGCAGGTGGATCCGGGGGCACAGGTGGCAGCCTCACAGTCGTCTAAATTCTCCTCACAGCTGGAGCCTCCCCAGCCGCTCACACACACACAGTGAAAGCTGCCAGCCAAGTTCTGGCAGGTACCGCCATTTCTGCAGCGAGGGAGACCCTGGGCCTCACATTCATCAACATCTTCAGAGCAATCCCAGCCTGGAAGGTGGGGGTAGAGAGGAGAAGAGGGCTGAATCTGGAAGCCTTGTGAAGAGAGGAGGGCTGGAGTGGGTGTTGGCTGTCACCTGAACTTGGCTTAAATGACTCACCTGTCCAGGTCTTTGGGCAGAGGCAGGTGTAGGTACCCAGCCCATCCAGGCAAGTGGCTCCATTCTGACACTGGTGCCAGACACAGTCATCTGGATTCATCTCACAGTCCAGGCCTGTGAAACCTGACAGGATCATTGTCTGAGCCTGGAGCCCACTCAAGGGTGAGAACCCTCCCTGCTCAGAGAGAGGGGCTGCAGGAGAGCCCCTGGGAGAACATACCTGGGGGGCAGAGGCAGAGGTGAAAGGTGGCATCTCCTTCTGGCACCAGTTGGCAGGTGCCCCCATTGAAACAGCCCTCAGGAGGGCAGGGTCCCTTCCGGAGCTTGCACTGGGGACCCTCCCGCCCTGCAGGGCAGAGACACTGGAAGGAGCCCAGGGTATTGTGGCAGGAGGTGCCTTTAGGGCAGGGTCCTGGCTCCAGGAAGCACTCGTTGACGTCATGTTCGCAGGTATGACCCTCGAAGCCGGGTGGGCAGCGACACTGGATTTGGGGGTACGTGGCCAGGCACTGACCTCCATTGGCACAGGGGTTGGTTGAGCAGAAGTCTCTGAGTTGGCATTGCTCACCTGCCATAGGGGACAAGAATGGAGTTGTTGGGGTGGATTTGGGCACTGCACAGATATGTTGCGTGCATCTGAGCCATGCTCAGGCCTTGTGCGTGAGCTCTGTCTACTTTTCCTTTTCCCTCTAGTTATTCTCCTGTCCCTGCTGCCCTGTTGTGGTACCCCTCTGCCTTAGTTTTGCCATGTCTTGGAGGGTTGTGTTCAGACCGTCCATATTTTCTTTTTTTAAAAAATTTTATTTGTTATTTTTATTTTATGTGTAGGCGTGTATTGCCTGCATGTAGGTACCCATGTCGTGCAATGCCCACGGAGGTCAGAAGAGGCTGTCAGATTCCCTGGGACTGGAGTTATGGACAGTTGTTAGCTGCCCTGTGGGTGCTGGGATTCGACCCAAGGTCTTCTGCAAGAACAACTCTCTCCAGCCCCAACTGTCCATATTTTCTATGCTGAAGAATGACACATGTAGCTAACAATGGAGTTATTACAAATTGGCCCTACCTGGGAAAATTTGGGACATGGTGGTCTCTGCAGTGGTAACCATCTTGGGTAAAGGTGAAATTGCCCAGCGGCACCAGCTGGTCACTCGGCCTTTCTGACAGGTCCCCATTGTTACTATTACCTTGTTTTTTGTTTTCTTTGAGACAAGGTTTTATGTCAATATGAACTTCTGATCCTCCTGCCTCTACCTTCCCAGTGCAGGCACGTGGCACTATGCTGTTTATACACAGCTGGGGATCGACCCAGGGCTTTGTGCATGTTAGGCAAGTACTCTACCAACTGAGCTACATCCCCAGCCCTATTTCCTCTTCTTTTGGGAGTTGGTTCTCTCCTTCCACCATGTGGGTCCTGGCGATCAAACTCAGGTCATCAGCCTTTACTCCACCCCAATTATGCCCTATTATTCTTTGCGAGACTTTAATGGTCTAGGGAGTTTAACAGGATGCTCAGCAGGCATCCATGTGCTCCAGTAGTGATGGCAGCAGCAGTAGCAGCCAGTCCCTGCATATATAGATGACGTGCTGGGCACAAGCTAAGGCACCAACCACTGCATACAGGTCCTGTGCTGGGCACTGAGCTAAGGCACTAGTCACTGCATACAGGTCATGTGCTGGGCACTGAGCTAAGGCACCAACCACTGCATACAGGTCCCGTGCTGGGCACCGAGCTAAGGCACCAACCACTGCATACAGGTCCTGTGCTGGGCACCGAGCTAAGGCACAACCACTGCATACAGGTCCCGTGCTGGGCACTGAGCTAAGGCACAACCACTGCATACAGGTCACATGCTGGGCACCAAGCAAAGTGAGCACTTTCTGGTTTATTCTCGCACCAACTTTATGCAGTGTGGATGTTAGTCTTTCTGTTTGTCCACTGACAGCTGAGGAACCAGCCAGCTCAAGTGTCTTAAACAAGATCAAGTAGCAGAGCCGGCATTTGTCCCTATTCTGAGGTAGGATGCTCGCCCCGGAGGTAGACCACTCTTCCTGTGATGCACCCCCATCTCTCTCTCTGGAGCAGACCACTCAGCCACATCACACCCCTACCTCAGCACTTGTAGCTATTCCAGGTACATCTTTGGGCACCTGCCATTTAGAACTGGGACCAATTAGATACTCAGACTGCTGTCTAGAGCCCCCTGGTTGAGAAAGGCACAGTCCTCTAGTAGCCAGGCAGAGGGGAGCTGGACAGGGCCAGCAGAGGCATCAGGATGGTGAGCTAAGGGGGCTCATGGCACCCTTAGTTGGAAGTATTCCAACATTTTAAAGCAGCTACATACTTGTGAATGTCAGTCTTGAGGAAAGGGGTCCTTGCTAAGAACTGGATTGTTGAGTCTCATGTCCTCCGTCTTCCTAAGGCTCCAGTTCTATCTTTCCTGCCCCTTGGCCTAGTCGGTGGTCCCGCCCATCCCCTCTTTATGGGTAATACTGGCTGTCAATGTGACAGGCCCTGGAATCATCTAGCAAGCACGTGTGTGAGGGAGTTTTTAGACAGGGTTAATTGAGGTGGGATATGACCCCTAAACGTGGATCATATCATTTCCCAGGCTGGGGTCCTGGATTGCATAAAAAAAGCTGAGCTCTTGGGTCTGGAGAGATGGCTCAGCGGTTAAGAACACCGGTAGTTCTTGCAGAAGACCCGAATTTGAATCCCAGCACCCACATGGCAACTAACAACTGTCTGTAACTCCAGTCCCAGGGGATCCGACAGCCTCTTCTGACCTCTGTGGGCATTGCACGACACAGGTGCACTTACCTACACGCAGGCAATACACACACACACATAAAATAAAAATAATAAATAAAATACTAAAAAAAAAAGCTGAGTCCATGTGTTCGTCTGTCTGTGTGCTGGTTAGTTTTAACTGTCAACTTGCCACAACGTAGAGGCATCTGAGGAGAACGCCTCAATTGAAGACTAGTCTAGGTCAGGTTGGCCTGTGGGAATGTCTGTGGGGGATTGTTAATTGATGTGTGAAGACTCAGCCCATTGTGGGCGGCACCTTTCCCTAGGCGGGGTGGGGGGTGGTCTGGAACTATATGAGACAGGACAGGGCCAGATGGAAGCCAGGAAGTTCTTTCCACTCTTGCCTGTGGATGCTGTGTGACTAACTGCTTTGAGTGCCTGCCTTGACGTTTCCTCAACAATGGGCTGTCGCCTGGAATTGTAAGTCAAATGAACTCTTCCCTCCCTTACGTTGCTTTTAAATTTTTTTATCTTTATATTTCTGAGAATTTCAGACATGAGTATTGTCTCTGCATTTAAAAGAATATTTTTTTTTACTATTTTATGTGTATGAATGTATTGCCTGTATGTATGTGAGTGCACCCATGTCGTGAAGAGGGCTTCGGATTCCCCTGGAACTGGAGTTAAGGACGGTTCGTAGCCACCATGTGGGTGCTGGGAATTGAACCTGGGTCCTCTGCAAGAGCAGTCAGTGCTCTTAACCACTGAGCCATCTCTCCAGTATACACATGAGCACCATTAAATGGTGCACCGGGTCCATTGCTCATGTGTACCTGTGTTTCGGGCTGTCCATTTGGGAATAGAAAACCTCTCGGGGAGTTTGTCCCTGGAGAAAATGGGCTCTCCCTCCCTCAGCATCAACACTGCCTATAGGTCTTCATCTTGGGGGGGGAACCCCGTGACATTCCCCCAATTCTCCTCAGCATATCACCGGATTTTGCCTTACACGGATCTCGTTAGACTACTGTGGAGATTGCATTGGTGCAAACCTAGGTTGCTTTTTGTCACAGTGTCTGTCGCAGCACAGTAACGCAAGGACAACACTTGGCTTCCTGTCTGTGAATGCTGGCTGCTTCATGCTCCTGCTACCATGATTCCTGCGTAATGGACTGCACCTTGAACTCAGCCAAAATAAGCCCTTGCTTCTGTATGTTGTTTTGTCAGCGCAACAAGGCACCTCCTCACCATCCTCACGGAGGCTTACCTGTCCACCCGGGCATACAGGAGCACTGTGGGTGACCTGAGACCTGGATGTGGCAGCGGCCCCTTTGGTAACAGAAGGAGGGTGGACAGAGTTCTTCCAGCTGGGCCTGGCACCGCTCGCCGGTGAAGCCAGGGGGACAGGTGCAGGAAAAGCGGAGGGGCAGTGAAGAAGCAGGGCTCGAGGAGCCTGGGGGTGTGGGAAGCAGGGCTTGGCAGCTGCCCCCATTCTGACAGATCTGGGTACCCAGGCAGGGGTCAGGGAACTGACACGTGTCACCCAGAAAGCCAGGGGCACACCTGGAGGAGAGAGGACATCTCAGGTCAGTGGCTCCTTTCGTCTCTCCCTCCCTCCTTTGTCTCCCTCTTTCACCTCTTCCGCTTGTCTTCCCGTCCCCCACCTGGCTCTCTCCATCTTCTAGTCTCTCATTCCCACAAGGCATATTTACCGGCAGGCCACTTGTCCCTGAGACAGGCTCAGGCAGGTGCCTCCGTTGGCGCAGGGTTCTGGGAAACCACCACACAGCCGCTCTGGGAATGGAACGAGAGGATGAGATGGAGCCCAGGCTTCCTCCCTCAGGTGTTTCTCAGAGACCAGCTCCCAGTAGCCCCCCACCTCATGCTGCCCGTAAGTGCTGTATACACCATCCTCTCCTTCACACCCCAGCCCCCATGTGGCTCCTCTGCCCCAGCTTCTTCCATCCCAGGCTTCTCAGTTGCTAACCCCCCTTTCCTGTTTATTCTCTGACCTCCCAAGTCCAGGCCTGCTCCATCCCTCGGAAGCAGGACATCAGGGATCCGGAGGGGAGCCAAGGGCACTCCTGGGATGTGAATGGCTGAGACCCAGAAGGGATTTCCTCCAGGAAGGGCCCAGCATTGAGCCCACAGGGGTGGAGGTGGGGGTGGGGTGGGGGTAGGGATAGCTACATGGAAAGGGACTTGGTGGGCTCTCGCCCTTCTATGTTTCCATCTCCTACTCACCCCCATCTTTCCCCCTAGCAGGTGGTCAAGTTTTTCCCTGGTCTCTCCCACAATGAGAGCTCTTGGCTTTTTACTCCAGGGCCAACTGACTTTTCCCTGGGGGTGGGCACCCTCCCTCCCACCCATCCCCCAGTAGGCACCACCCCTGGCATCAGGCCTGAAACCTGGGTCTGAGGAGCTGTCTTAGCAGCAGTTGGCTCTCCCTGCGAGTTGTCCCCACTTGAGGAGAAGGGATCTCCTCCATCTATTTTCCCTTGAGAGCCTGTGGCTCAACCCTCTTCCCTGACCACAGCAGGCATCTTCCTGAGTGAGATGCGCCCCCAACCTCCTCCACCTCTGCCAATGTCTCACCTCCGGTTAGGACAGCTGGGAAACGCAGCATCAGGGTCAGCAGTGGCAGCAGCAGCAGCAGCAGGAACAGGGGCTGCATTCCAGAGCTCCTGCCCCTGGCCCAGATCCCCTCTCCCTCTTCAGGCAGGGACCCTTAGGGCCCTCGCAGTGAGGCAGGGCCAGCTCCTCTGCTCCTTCCTCCTCCTGGGCCTGTTGCACGCCTAAGTCTGAGCTGCTTCCTGAGTCACACAATGTCCTGGACACCCTAGTGATGGGGGTTGGGGGAGGGAGAGGAACATTGAGGGGGATGAAGGAGGGGCCTCTGTATCTGGCAACCTTTGGAAGAGGACAGTACGGCTAGACTAGACCACAGGTGAGAGGAGGGGAGAGCTGGTTTGGCTCCTGCTGCCCCTGAGGGCAGTCCCAGTCCTTTTAAGCATGGGGGCGGCAGGTGGCTGCTGAGTCCCAGAAAGGGCAGGACCTGGAAACAGGGGTGCGGGGGGATGAGGTCACTCCTTATCCCTCTTTCCTGGAGAGGATGCTCAGCTTCCGATATAGCACAGATACTCCTCAAAAGATTGGCCGCTTGTAATTTGAAATCACTAACCTTGGCAGAGGGAATCCAGGGGACTTTTAATCCTTTCCTTGGCTTTCTCTGGGAGGTTTTTTTTTTTTTTTTTTTTTAAATCCGGTTTAGACAAGCACATGCTCCTGCCTTGTTGGTCTGGGGCACTCTGTGTAGATCAGGCTGACCTGAAATTTAGAGCACTCTTCCTTCCTCTGTCCCCAGGTGTTGAGGTTACCAGCATGTGCCATCCTGCCTGGCCTTTTTTCTGGAACTTCCTTTTCTCTGTCTGAGAAACAGGCATGATGCTGAGCTACTTTCTTCTTTCTTTAGTGGGGATGGAGCCCTGACCTGCCTGGGAGACAGCTGCTCTACCACTGAGCCATACCTGCAGACTGCTTGGCTGCATTTAGGAAGGGGAAGTCTTGGCCCTCTTTAGAGAGGAAGGTGTAAGACTGCCCTTATCAAAGGTAAATGGACAAAAAGTATTCCACCCACTTATGCTTCGCTCCCCTGCAAAGGATGCTGGGACACAGGGGATATCAACCAGGCCATAAAATCAGAGCAAATAAAAACACAAAAGAGAATTCTACCTTCTTTTATTTGATACATTTTTAATGTGTGTTGTTTCTGCCTGTATGTAAGTCCACCTGTGCATTCAATGTCCGTGGAGGCCAGAAGAGGGCCTGGGATTCAGTGGAACTGGAGTTACAGATGGCTGTTAGCTGCCATGTGGTACTGGGAACTGAACTCAGGTCCTCTGCAAGAGCAGTCAGTACTCTGAACTGCTGAGCCATCTCTCCAGCAACAAAAAACCCATTTTTAAAGACAGGATCTTACTCTGTAGCCTAGGCTTGCCTGTAACTCTCTATGAAGCAAGGCTAGCCTCAAAGTCATGGTGATGCTCCTGCCTCAGTCTCCCAAGTACTGGGATTACAGGCATATACCATCATACCCAACTTTATTCTTTCTCGAGTCACCCAGTCCAGCTTTGGGGTCAGCCACATAGGGTTCCTTCAGTAGTGCTGGAAACTGAGCTTAGGGTAGTGGAGTGTCCAGGGGAGCAACTCACTCAACTTTGAGGAATCCTGGATACAGCCTGGAGCACTGGGCAGTTGAGGAGCTGTAACAGGACTAACTCCCCACTCCCCCACCTGCCCCTGCTCTTAAAGATAGGATTTCATTTGCTATGTAGCTGATGTTGACCTTGAACTCCTGATGCTCCTGCCTCCATCTCCCAAGTGCCGGGATGACAGGTGCTCACCGCACACAATGCCTGTTTTATGTGGTGTTAAAGATCAAATTCAGAGCACTGTGCATGCTAGGCAAGCACCTGTCAACTGAGTTATAATCTTAGCCTCCTTTTGAGTGCAAGTCACTTACTATGTTTTGTAGGATGATCCAACTTTTGGCCATATCTGATGCTTCTTTTGAGGAGTGCTTGTTATGGAACCCAGTGTCTCACACATGCCAACACATGCTCCACTGCTGACCACACTCCCAGCCCCTCCATCATCACTCTTAAATCATTGTCCAGGAAATCTACCCTATGGGGAGCAACCACTCATTCCAATCAGTTTCCTAGTGAGTTGTGTCTAGGAGGGCCTCAGTTTTTAAAATAGCATCCATCATGTTGCAGTAAATATTCTAGAACTTACACATTTGTGTCATTTGCTTTTCTTAGGCCAACCTCTGGAAGTGAAACCACCGAGCCCGTGGTTGACCACAGAGTCAAACTTTCCCACAAGTATTCTTCAGGATGCAGTGCAGGACTTCATATACCCTAGCCAGTAGCATCTGTGTATTGCATTCTCCTCAGCCCTCAGTATTAGAACTCCTGCCACTTAGGGTGAAACGGCATCTCGTTGCTGTTTTAAAATTTCGTTTGCTGGGTGTGGTGGTAAGCACCTGGAATCCCAGCATTTGAGAGGTTGAGGCAGGAGGATCAGAAATTCAGGGCCAACCTGGGCTACATAGGGAAACTTGGTCTCAAAAGAAATACAGAGTTTGTTCAACCAACCCCTCCCCTTCCTGGCAGCATTTTGTTGTGAGGGTTAACATTTTCACACATGTGATGGTATTCATGTTTCTTTTGTGAGTTTCCTGTCTGTGTTTTGGGCCCATTGTCCTACTGGTGTGTCATTTTCCCAGAACCTTCCCTAGTGGAAGTGGCAGCTGAGATCTGGGAAGATTTAGTGTGCACAGCCTTGCTTTTGCACTGTCTGGTTTGCAGACCAGCAAAAGGAAACTAGGAAGGGGGTGTCTGGCTTCTTACAGAACCGCAGACGCCCCGCTTGGAAAGAACCGGTGTGGTTGCCAGCTCTACACCGTTTAGAAAAGGAGCCTGGGGCGCTAGGCTGGACCTTGTGAGAAAGAAGAAATGGCAATAGAGACAGGGAAGTGGTGAGACTCAGGGGGAACCAAGAGTTTGTGGGCGACAAGGGGGCGTGTGTGCTGCTCCGCCCAGTTCTTGCTTTATCCTGCCCAAGGCAAGGCAGTGTGCACCTGGTCAGGCTATCCGTGCTGTTCCCGGGTCCAGGCGACCTCGCTGACTTCTAGGACCTGACAGCTCAAAAGTAGGATGCGTCCCCGAGAGCTTGCTTCTCTTTCCAGATGGCTTCCCAGGGGTTGATGCTGTTGCTGGTGGAACCATCATTGTGGTGAGGGCAACATGCCAGGGACACAGAGGTGTAAAACCACTCCTTTCCTGGTGCTGCCCCATCAAAGTCATTCATTTGTTCAGCTGGTTTTCCTTTCATTGTATATCCCAGGAGAAGGATAGATGTGTCAATCACTCATACTTCAATTGTGGGAACATTCCACTTTAAGAGGATCAGCCCTTGTGTTTGCTCCTCTCCGCCTGGCTCATTCCTTCATCTCAAAAGCCTGCTTTCTGAGTCAGGCTTGGTGGTGCATGCCGTTAAGCCCAGCACCCAGGAGGCAGGCGGATCTCTGGGAGATCAAGCCCAGCTTATAGTGAGTTCCAGGCCAGCTGTGACTAGAAACCCTGTCTTAAAAACAAGCAAGCAGGCAAGCAAGCAAGCAAGCAGGCAAGCAGGCAAGCAGGCAAACAAGCATTGTTGCAAGCAAACACAAAAGTCTCCTTTTCCGTAAGGCCTTTCTTCACCATCCCATTCCAAAAATAGAAGCCTTCTCCTAGTTCCTCATCCCTTAGTTTTCCTCCTCCTCCCCCTTCCCCTCCCCCAGCCCCAGCTGGCCTGGGACGATGTAGACCAGGCTAGCCTTGAACTCACAGAGATCCACCTGCCTCTGCCTGCTGAATGCTGGGATTAAAGGCGTGCGCCGTCTAACTCACAAGTTACACTATTATTTTATCTTCTTATTTACACTGCCGGTTTGGCAGTCAGCCACATCTCCAAGGATTGGGGATGGAACAGTTGAGAAAACAGAATTGTAGAACCCAGCTCTCGGGTTGGAGAGATGGCTCAGTGATTAAGAGTGCTTTCTGATTGAGATTGGTACTTTGCTATCACCTTGATGCACTTGGGAACAGGGATCTCAGCTGGAATTTCCTCCATCAGATTGGCCTGTGGGCATGTCTCTGGGCCATTTTCTTGATTGCTTTTGATGTGGGAGGGCCTGGTCCTCTGTGAATGGTGCCATCCCCCAGCAGGTGGACAACTTGGGCTGTATAAGAAAGGTAGTTTTCCTATATAAACCTCTGCCTCTGCCATAATAAATGAGCTGTCCACTGGGCGGCGGGGGGGGGGAGGTACTTGAGGGGCTGGAGAGATGGCTCAGCAGTTAAGAACACTGGTTGTTTTTGCAGAAGACCCTCAAGCCCACCCCCAGTGACATGCTTCCTCCAGGACAGCCGCACCTTCTAAAACCTCCCAAAACAGCACCATCATCTGGGGACAAAATGTCCAATTACTTGGAGCCTATGGGATACATTTTCATTCAAACCATCACAACCTCTGACCCAAGATAGCAGCACTCTGAGATGAACCAAGACTTAATGGCAGGCAGGATCTAGACCATCATATAGGTAAACCAGGTTATGTCTGGGTTTTCACTAGGCCTCATCCTGGGTCAGTGAGTTGTCTCTATCAACCAGTTCTGCAGGAGTTCAAGAAGAAGATGAAGGACATCAAAGAAGGCAGACCTCTGTCTACGAAGATTTCTGTGAAGCTTGCCAAACTCTGGGATTTTGAAGGATGAGACTGAGAAGGGGTCAGCTGAGAAAGCTGTGCAGAAGGGGTGGAGGAGATGTCATGCCAACATGGTCAATATTTTCGCTACTTAGTTTTTATGCATACAACTGTATCAAGGGATCAAGCCCGGATAAACATCCTCTGTCCCCCACTTTCAAAAAAACAAAACAAAGCAGTTGACAGGAAAGCCAGGCCTGACGGTGAAAACCTGTCATGAGTTGGAGGGATCCAAACTCAGGTCCTCATGACTGAGCAGTAAGCACTCTTAACTGCTCAGTGATCTCTGTTCCCTCTTTCTCTTTCTTTGAACAGGGTCTCATGTAGCCCAGGCTGGCCTCAAACTCACTATGTAGTGGAGGATGACCTTGAACTTGTCATGTCCCTCCTGACTCTGACTCTGTCTCTTAGCATTGGGATTACATAGTAAACCTAACCTTCCACTTTGA